TCACACCACCCTACTTTACTCTGTAAGCCAAAAACAAGGCCTGGGGAAAAAATCTATATGCTTTCTAGCAGTCACAGTTGCTGTAGTAAATTATACTCTTTCCCAAAAAGTGTCATTCCAACCAACTTCAAATTCCACAGGGTCAAAGGAAAAGGACTTGCATGGGTATTAAAATGATATGTTCAACTATTACATTTCTTTTGATTCTTAAGACACAATTTTAGCAACTCTGGAATTGGGATGCATCTTATAGTTGCCAGACAGCATCAAAACTTAGTGATTTGAAGAAAATCAGAGAATTTATTTAACCCTTAAGAATCAAATCAATGTAGGGAGAAGTAAAAATGAAGCAATCAAATATAGGCCAGATCGACATATTGGACTCTTCTTAACAGCCAATGAATCACGATTAATATTATTATTAGATACTGGGGAATGAACCCAGGGGTTAAACTACTAAGCCACATTCCCAGCACCCCTCACCCTTTTGGAGACAGGGTCTCACTAGGTTGTTAAGGCTGGCTTTGCACTTGCAATCCTCCTGCCTCAGCCTCCTGATGGTTTCTTATTTTTAGTGGTTCTTCAGAGAAAAATTGTTACCATGAATGTATACAAAACAGTACTAAGAGGAAAATGGGATATGAGTTTAAATACAAAAATTTAGGAGAACTGAAATATTTTCCTTTTTATATAATTATCCAGATATACAATTATTTGTCTATTTATGTCTAAAAGAATTATTTTAGTAAGTATAAAACAAAAAATTTTCTAGGTGATAGAACATTATATCATAGTATAACTGGCAGCACAGTGTTTAGATATGAAGAAATATTTTAAAGTTTTAAAATATTTCTTCATATGCAGTTGTATACTAAACATATTCAAGTGCTTGTTTTGTAGTGTTTTGTAGTCATTTTGTTAACATATTCAAGTATTCAATGCATTCATACTTTGTTCTGTGACTACTATTACTGAAAGCTTTATGGTAGGATGACAGTCACATGAAGCTAGTGGACAGTAAGACTAAGTTTATTAAAAGTACATACAATTAAAAATTATTTTCTTCAGTTGCCTCACCACATGTGGCAGTAACGAAACATTTCCACTATCACAGAATGTTCTATTGGATAGTGCTGATATATAGGAAGTCTGGAATGTAAACATCTGGATTCAACCCCTGTCACAAACTATACTAGTTCTTAGTTTCTTAACCTATAAAATAAAGGGGCCAGATCAGATGAACTTTTTACCTTCCAACTATAATAATCTATAGTTTTTCTACAAGTTTCCTACTTTGGAACTCTTCTTTGTATAAGCAAGAGCTGGCAAACAGTAGTAGAGATACTAGTTAACTATTAAAAAATCATAGGAAAGAAAAGAGATGTTAATAAGAAAATGTTGTAACATACAAGTCATGTGAATAATATACTTCCATGCCACTACTCACTTATTATGTACATACCCAACTTCACAAAACTCAAAATGTTTATATTAAGGATTCCTGTCACTACAGAACAACTCTGACATTTTAAAACAACACTAAAAACTTCTGACAACTAAAGTGAAAGTAATATCCTCTAATTCTGAAGTGGAAGATGAGTGTAAACAAGCAGAAAAGCACATTCATGTCAAAAGCTGGAAAATACTACCAGACAGAAACAAATGAACAGACTTTGAGGACTAGGGAAGTTCCTAAAAAATAAAAATAAATAAATGCCCATATTTACACGAGGGCCTAGGCTGCTATTTTGAAAACTTAAGACTAATAGTTTCAAATCTTCTTCCACATAAAAGCCAAAAACTACTCTCCTTACATTTTTCTTTGATTTCATTCCCATCATCTTTCTTCTTTTAACCACAATGATCTCCTTGCTATTCCTGAATGGCAGGCAAACTTCCATCTTAGAGCCTTTTGCCATTTCCCCAGCCTGGAATGCTCTTCCCCAAACAGGTGCATAGCTCACTCCCATCACCTTCCTTCAAGTCTAAGCTCAAATGTTCCTTGCCAAAGTCTTCTCTGATCATCTACTCTTAAAATCAATCTCCTCACCCAGTTCTTTCTATCATATTTTCCCTTCTACATTACTTTGCAGTACTAATCACTTTTGAACACAGTATTTCTTTTATCTCTTTCCATTATACTGAGGGTATTAATTTCTGTTTTATACACAGATTTATCCCTACCATCTGAAAAAGTGTTTGCACCTATTAGATACTTAATAAGTATTCCACCAAATAATACTTTCAATGTCTTAACATGGAGTAAAACTAACACTTTAGTAATGTACATCATTATTCTGGGGCTCTATGCTACAAATAGGGGGATCATTTATCATTCTGCCCAAATTGAAACTCTTCAGAGTGAAAGGGGACATCAATAATAATTACTTTGCGAAAAAAAGGCATAAACTAGATCTGTTTCAGGCAAACCAAGATGTTATCTATAACCCATTTTAGAGCATAAGGTATGGGTATCCATAAAATATACAGAAAGCAAGCATAATTTAACAGCATAGAGTTATTCAGTATATGAAAAGTTTATTTTATTGTTTCACTGAGCAGATCTTTCTCACTTACTAAACTTGGCATACAGTAGATACTTTAAAATACTTGCTGAAATACTGAAAGAACAAACATTTGATCCAATACTATTCCAAGTACTTCAAGCAGTGCAGCATTTTTCTTAATTGAAAAACAATCTAAAAATTCAATAATAAAAGCCAATTAATATCATACAATGGAATTTAAACCAAGTTGTAGAATATTTAAGTACATAAGAAATATTTAAGACACACATTAAGCAAAAAATGGAGACAAGGGGAGTTGGGGATGTAGTTCATTGGTAGAGTACTAGCCTAGCATTCATAAGGCCTTGGGGTCAATCTCCAACACCTCAACTGAGGGGGAAAAAAAGGAGAGATTAGAAATAAGTGCATTATGATCCCATTTTGGATTTTTACAAATATACCTCTAAGACTAAAGGAGTACAATAATCATTGACAATATTTGAGTAGTGGGATAATATTTTCTTAGTTTGGCTTTCTATAGTTCATAAATTCTTTTCAATAAGCATGTAGAATTTTTATCAGAAAAAGTTATAAGAATCTGGGGCTAGGGTTGAGGCTCAAGTGGTAGAGTGCTGCCCAGCACGTGTGAGGTACTGGGTTCAATCCTCAGCACCATATAAAAATAAAATAAAGGTACTGTATCCACCTAAAACTAAAAAATATATATTAAAAAAAGTTATGAGAAACTGACAAATATCCCAAAACAAAGGGCTTTGCTATTCATCCATTACACCAAGTAATTTACTTTATATCACTGCATTAAATCTTTCATTCAAGTATTTTCAATTATCCATTATATTTAGAACCTTTCTGGTTCTGGGAATACAATACATAATAAAAGCCCCACTACTATATAAAAAACAATTTCAATAAGGCATAAAAGCTGATGAGGTCTAGGCACATAACTATGTCATGATCCAGTATCACTTTCCTAATTAGATCAAGAGACAGTTATGTGCCTGGACTTCTTCAGCTTACTCTTTATTGAAGTTATATTTTTGATATAAGCTTAGTTTTTATTCAGAGTCATAAAAAAGAACTATAAGGCTAAAGTTTCAGAATGTTTTATAAATTATCACAGGCACTATTTAAAATGTTCTCAATGTTAGGTTATGTAAAAGCTATAAAACTTATGAAATTGGGAATAAAAGTCAACCCATTCTTTATTCCCCAGGAGATTTTCAGAATACTAGAGAAGTAGCATGATCCTAAACATAATGCTAGAACCAAATCAGATTCATTCATTCATACATGCTACTTAATGCACAACTTATCAGAAGCCAAACTATGGAGGTAAAATAAAAAGTACTAAATACAAGGATAATACAATAACTATGTAATTGTATTATGTGTTCAATAACTAATGAGGGAATGCTAAACTATGAAAAATAGGTAATAGCAAGAAAAATGGAAGGGAAAAGAGACAGCATCCATGAACCTGGATCAAAGCGGTACTTTAAGAAATCTAGTAGCAGAATGTAAGATGAGCCGGGAGAATGAAACAGAAATGTTTAGATAAGAAAATTCACTGTAATGCAAAAACAAAGCATAAGGAAATGAATTAATATGGTAGAAATAGCAATGGAAAAAGGCAATGCTATACATATTAAAAAGAAGATAAACTTGAGTGACAAAGTCAACTCTTAAGTGTAGGAAACTGAAATACCAAAAATAGGGACAATGAGAAGATACTTCCAGCTTAGTAACCTAAGGTTTGGGTTATGGTCAAACATAGCATGAAGTACAATGAGGTATGGTGTCATTATCATACCTCATTGTATTATCATACCTCAGTGAGCGTTAGAAATATTTCATTCATTTTGGTCAAGGAATTCTGCTTTTGAATTGCGGGAGGGGGTACCAGGGATTGACCACAGGGGCACTCTACCACTGAGCCACATCCTACCCCTATTTTGTATTTTATTTAGAGACAGGGTTTCACTGAGTTGTTTAGTGACTCGCTTTTGCTGAGGCTGGCTTTGAACTCATGATCCTCATGTCTCAGCCTCAGGAGCTGCTGGGATTACAGGCCTGCACCCCTGCTTTTGAATATTTAAGTGAAGATCTCTTCAGTGTCAATTTCTAAAATAAGTGTAAGGCAGTATGGCAAGGGGAAATAAGAGCTGGTCCAGAAGAGAAATTCTAGTTTGGACTCCAACACACTTATGTTTTCTTAGTCACTAATATTTAGACCTTAGCTACTTCATCTATAAAATGATCAGGCTGGACTACAATACTCCTAAAATGCAATCTATTCCTAAATCAAGATTTTCCTACTCTTGTTTGTAAAATGATCCTATATAAACATACAGCTCACTTTAGGAGTCAATGTTATTTTTTAAAAAGCTATAAGAAATACAGATGCCTGTGCATCTTTATAACTGTTTAGATCCTAAACATGATCCTAAACATAATGCTAAACCAAACACATACCTGAAAGTTTAAAATTCTGCTCATATTTTTTTGAAGAGTCTTCTGCCTGAAACCGGTCACGCAGGGGAGAAAAAGCCATTGGCTCAACCATCTGAATCCCCAAAGATGCCTCCATCACAAAACAACTGGGATGCAAAATGTCAGCAAACGGGTCATGTCCTTAGGGAGAGCAAAGCAGCTGTGAAAATTAGAATGCTGGAGAAGGTAAGTTTAAATCACTCAGTGAACCAAGCACTAAACAATGCTGCTGTCCTCAAAGGGGCAAACACTTAAAAGCGCACCATATGTTCAAATCCCCAAAGTAAGGGAAACTGTGACCATTTCTACGGAAATCCCGTTTGCTTTACTTTCACCTTCCAGAAACACCGGCAGGGGACCGTAGGGAGAATTTCCCAGATGGGGCAGCCTCAGCAGCAGCTGGCAGCGATGGAAAGGGGTTTGGGAAAGCTGAGGAAACGAGCCTGGGCACAAGCCTGCGGGGAGTGTGAGGGGGGCGAAGAGGAGGACGGTTCGTCCCGAGGAAAAGGAACGAAGCAGGAAACGACTTGCTACTGAAAGGAAGCTCCAGGAGGCTCGTCCAACGTCCCACGCAAATTGATGGAGAATTAATGCAATACTGGCCGCGAGCGCCAAGCAGAGGAAGAGAAGGGGAATGAATGGGCATTCTAAAGCGCCGGCCACGAGCGCCGCGGGAAAGGACCTTCCTCGCTCAAACCCGAGACCAAACCGGATGCTCTGTGCGCAAGCGCGTCACTTTGCCGCCCCAGGTCGTAGGGATCTGAAGTCGGGGAGAAGAGAAGCGCTGTACTGCGACAGAACCGAAGTCAAAACCCAGAATTCGCTCCTAACCCCTCACAATCCCGAGCCGCGGAACAAACCGTCGGAAACTCACAGTTTAAGGGAGTACAACTTCTGTAGCTCCCAATATGCCCGGGTCGCCGGCTTCTAGAGTCCCCACCCAGCGCACGGCCAAACGCGCCTGCGCAACACTTCCCGCCTCGCTGCTTGGAGTTGCTCATGCGCACTACAACGCCCTCGGCGCTGCGGAATCCGCGCTCGGCGCCTGCGCGAGAGCCTTGGGCGCCTTCCCCGAGGCTTGGAAAGGCCTAAAGGGCAGTTACAGAAATAAAACTCAGGATGTTCTTTTACTAGTAAAAGATAGAGTGAACGGTAAGGCCTAGATCTAGTATTTTCAGGAAGGAAGATATTCAGAGGGAAAAGAGGCTCAGGTGTAGGCGTTTTGTCACATCCCTACATACTGTGTTAACACACGACATTGGGCACTATGGGTAAAAGGCCCTTTCTTGACTCCCTGCTTTGACTTTTCGTTGAGTGCCCTATTTTATTAAAAACAAAAATGTAACAGCCGACTGTTTATGGGTGTTGTATTGCAGTAGAAGTGAGCAGCGTGACACCCAGCTTATATTTATTGAGCCCTTAGCTTACAATGATGAGCAAGGCAGATAA